TATTCATGATTAAGATGGTTGTAGATTGTTCTATTGATCGCCTCAAAGCTCACTAAGTGGCCTGAAGGTTTTCTCAAACATATCAAGAGGATTATATTAAAACTTTCTCTCTAGTGGTGAAACTTACTTCAGTTTGTACTTGCTAGTGTTTGTAGTCCACTTCTCACGGTCTCTTCATCAGTTGAATGTAAAGAATGATTTTCTTCATGACAATCTTGAGGAAGCAGTATATTGGAGCAACCTCCTAATTTTATTTTGGCTGACTCATCAGATTCTATGTGGTATCTATAAAAATCTATCTATAAGCTAAAGTAGCCTCCTTGACTTGGTTTAGTTATTTCTACAAGCCAGTTCAAGATTTTAATCTTCATTAGAGTGCTTCTAATCCCATCATTTTCTATTGTCACATTGTTGCGAGCTACATTATTCTTCTTCTCCATGTTGATGACATTATTCTGATGAGTGTTGATAAATGGATGTATCTCTAATTTCAAGGTTTTTCTTCATAACAAAGTGACGATCAGATACCTAAGTCAACTTCAGTACTTTTTAGGTATTGAAGTTGTACTTTTTAGTGCTTGGTTATTGATGTGACTTAGTCATTGTATAATAAATCATGTAAATTAAAAATTTATAAATTTAGAAAAATACTTCTTTTTAGATTTTTAGAAATATTTTAGAGAAAATAAATTAATTCTAACTCAATAAAAGATTCCAAACATAGTGAGAAATTTCCAACTCAATCATAGAGTATGTAACATAATATCAGGTAATATTTTAGAATTATTTTAGAAGAATATAATTTATTATCATTTTTAGAGTAAATAATAAATATAAAATATATTTAAAATTTTACAAAAAAAGTAAATAAGGGTGAGGACGTCAAGATAACATCAACACCCTAAGGAATACAATTCAAGTAGAAATAGAGTTCTATAAATGAGTCAAATTTAGATGTGTAAAAGCGAGAAGAACCATATCATAATTGAATGAAGAATGTTTTTGAAATTTAAAATTACATTAAGTATCACTAAATTAAGAGACAATTAAGTTGAAAGTAAGAAAGGTAGAGTTCTGACCTCATAATTCTATGTGTTCAAGAGGATTATTGAATAATGTCCACAACCTCAAAAGCTCTCCTTACACATTGACAACTTGGGTATTTGCTAGATCTATTTTTGAAGTCTAAAAATCAATGAAGTGGGTTGTCAAATCATCTCTAGCAGGTGTCACCTGATAAAGTAAAAGAATAACAACTTTGTGAATCTCTAATAATTGACACCAATAAGTTTGATAGAGGTGGAGCACATCTTAAAGAGCTGCATCATTAAGCCCAAATAGCAAGAGGGGGCTCTTGATCATATATGGTACACTCTCATAAGGTGATGACTCATCTCTTAGTAGATCGATCTCTTCTGGACGATAACTTATTTGTCGATCAATTAGAGATAATTTACTCAATGAATTTGTGATCTTTTTACTCATAATCATTATGTAATTTTAGTAACAATGTTCCACAAATCTTGTTGACGAGATTTTCATTAAAAATTGAGTGATTCTAGGGGCTTAATCCTTCACTAGTAATTTATAAGAAAGGTATAATTTACTCACATAAAGATATGAGTTTTGACTCTAGTAAGATTCGAACCCTCAATGATTGTCCACCTACATAAAAGTGAGTGAAATAAGTATGTGAATATCTTTATAAAGTGACATCATAAAGGTATCTCTTTCTAATAAATAATGTATATTTTAGGTATTAAAAATATTAAAACCTTTGGGGAATTTGTGACCATTGGTTTAATCTCACATCAATTATATGTCAAATTTTGAGTCGGATGTATAATAATGCAAGACTTGATAATCAATTAGGCCTTTTCTCATGTGTACAATCACTCCTTGCCCCATGCCTGACTAGCAACTAGTGATGTGGAATGGGAGTGATGCACACATGTCTCCTATTGGTCCGTCCTCAACTACTTTAGCCCTTGCTCATAGCTCTACTTGATTGTACTTCTAACCTACTTATGAGCTTGATTGGCCGGCAAGTTCTCCTTTTTTTATCTTTTTATTTTATTTTATTTATCTCAAAAATAGGATTATAAAAATTATATAAATTTGTATAAAATTACATAATTAATCAAAATTTCATATTAACTCATTAAAAATTATTTTTTCTAATTTAACATAAATATAAGTCTATTTATCATAAGTTAAGACTAAAAATCTATTATTAATTAATTATTAACTCATGATAGCGAAGACTTATCACACCTCCCAACTTAAATCTTGTTAGTCCCTTAGTAATAAAATTATAAAAATTAATAAAAATTTATAAATTTTAGATATCATATTTTAATACATAAAAATATAATTAGAAATGATGCACTACTAGACACTTTAGACTCTTATATCAAGTATTTAAGAATTATGTCAAGCACTTAAATATTTAAGCACTCTTATATTCACATCTTTGTCACTTCTTCACTCATAGATATAATTCACAAGATATTATAATTATCAATATTCATCTAATAATAATATTGATCTTATATTTATTTTTTTCTTTCCATGACTTGATTTTTGAAGTTTGCACTATATTACTTCTATTTTTTTCTGTAGTGGATAAGTAGGTTTTCATGAAGATAAATTTTGAAAATAAAAATGATGTCTCACACCGGCTATGTGTACTCTTCATTTTCAAAGCTTTTATATTATCTACTCATTTTACAGCAAGTGTTTTTCTGTAGACAAATTTCAATAATGAGAATGATGTCTCACACCCTATATGTATATTTTAAGATTTTTTGCATTATTTTTTTAAAAAAGATTCCAAAATAAGTGATTTCTCCTCATAATTCTTATAAATTAGGATATAAAAAATTCTATTAAACTCAAATGATCAATCAAATTTTCACATCAAGTAAATATTATCTATTAAGATCATGAAGTGAAACTCTGTAAAATCAAATCCATGTTATCTACCATGTGTCTAAGGAGTATTTCAACATTTTATGCTACTAAATTATTATTTTAACTCAATAATAATTATCATAATATATTTTATTTTCAATCAATCTAATTGATTTAATTTTTTGTGCATAAAATATGATGTAAGAAATTTATAAATTAGATAGTTCTGACAATTTGTTATTTATCTTTAGTTCTATTTTCAATAATAGTGAATTTGTCAAAAATAAATTAAAACAATCATCTTTATAGTTCTACTTTCTAATTTCAGAAATATATCTAGGGGATTGAAATGTGAGAAAAAGGTCTCTACAATTTCAAATTCAAACTACTTCTTTTTGTTATTTTTGATAGTCTATAAATTATTCTCTATTATTCTTGACAGAAAATTAAAAAACAAATGCTATAGTTTTTCTTCAATTTTTTTAATTACTTTTATAGGTGAGCAAAAAAAAATGTAATCACATGTTCTTAATCATCCTACAACATAAATTAAGACTTAATGCTTCACTCCCCAACTTAAAAATGACATTGTCATCAATAACATAGAAAAATCAGAATAGAATATGCATAAAATATAATTTTTAAGAGAAACATGCATATATGTAAAGTTTAGTAAAATTATTGTCATAAAGGATAAAGTTCAGAAACACATCACCTCAACCTCATTTTTAATTTTTCACTTCATATTATACTCTTCCTCTTACAATTTATTTTTGAAAATAATAAATACTATAAAATTCTAAGAAAAATAAAATTTTAAAAAATAGAATTAAACAAAAACTATGGGTTGCCTCTCATGTAGTGCTTAATAGAATGTCTCCAACTAGACACATTAATCTTACTATTGAATTTCTTTTAATAATAAAATTTATTTTTCTACAAGGCATTCATATTCTATGTAATGCTTAAGGTACTATCCATTTATCTTAAAACTCTGATCACTTTTAAGATCTTTAATTATTACATCCTCATGATTATGTCTCTTACACCACATAAGGTCCTATCCATTTTGATTTTAATTTTATTGTGAATAATTTCAGCCTAGAATCATATAACCATACTTTTTATCCTCATATTCTAGTTTATCATGAAAAGTTTTAGTTTTTTCTTTATTTATTCTATCATTTCATAAGCTTCATTCCTCAACTCCTCTAATTCAAGTAGCTGAAAAATTTTATGTTGACTAATAAGTCTTCATTATCATGAGTTCATAATTAGTAAATCATTTAGTTTTAGCCTTAACTCATGATAAATAGCCTTATATTTGTGTTAAAGTGTGAAAAGTGATTTTCAATTGATTAACATAAATTTTTGGGTAATTATGTAATTTTATATGATTTTTACAGTCTTACTTTTGAGATAAATAAAGAAAAAGAAATTAAAATAAAAATATAGCAAAATGAGGGGAGGTGATAAGTCTTCATTATCATGAGTTAATAATTAGTAAATAATATAGTTTTAGCCTTAACTCATGATAAATAGACTTATATTTGTGTTAAAGCATGAAAAGTGGTTTTCAGTTGATTAACGTGAATTTTTGGGTAATTATGTGATTTTATACGATTTTTACAGTCTTAGTTTTGAGATAAATGAAGAACAAGAAATAAAAATAAAAATATTGCAAAATGGGGGGATCCGCCGGCCAGCCGGGCCCGCAAGCGGGTCGGAAGCGCAGTCGGGGAGTAGCCGCGAGCAGGGGCTCGAGCGGCTTGCTTGGATCGATAGGGGCACGTGTGCGCCACTCCCCTTCCACGTCACCGGTGGTCAGCCGGCTGTGGGGCAAGGAGTGGTCGTACACGCGAGAGGACTTTGCCTAGAAAGCTAACTTTACTCTATATTCGCCCGAATAATCCGCCCACAACCGATGTGGGACTAAATCCACCTTGTAAGGGGCGGGCGACCGCCGCGGGTTCGAATCCTCCCAGAGTCAAAATTCATATATTTTTAACTGATTATCGCGACTTTCCTGCAGATCGCCGGTGAAGGATTAAGCAACTGGAATCGCTGGATCATCGGCGAAAATCTCGTCAACGCGATTCGCGGAGCATTGCTACTAAAATTTCTGAACGATTCGCGATAAAAGGATCGCAATCCATCGAGTAAATCATCTCCGATTGATCGACGAACAAGCCGTCGTCGGGAAGAGGACGATCCGCCGGGAGACCAGTCGCCACCTCCTGAGAGCGTACCAGATGCGATGAAGAGCCTCCTCTTGCTGCGCGGACCTGAGGATGAAGCTCCCTAACACGCGCCTCACCTCCATCCAGCCCCTCCCCGTCGGGTGACAGCCGCCGGAGAGCCGCAAAGTCGCCGTTTTTCCGCTCCGCCGGGTGACAGCCGCCGGAGACGATTCGACGACCCACTTCATTGGTCTCTAGACTTCGCGAGAAGATCTAGAGATTGCCCACGTCGTCTTTGTCCAAGGAGAGCCTTCGAGGCCGTGGACACTGCACGACGACCCTCCCAACGCTCAGGATTCCGGTGCATCGCCGACGCGTCGCCGTCGCGACGCCGGAACTCTGTTTTCCTGCTTTATCTAGAGATTGCCCACGTCGTCTTTGTCCAAGGAGAGCCTTCGAGGCCGTGGACACTGCACGACGACCCTCCCGAACGCTCAGGATTCCGGTGCATCGCCGACGCGTCGCCGTCGCGACGCCGGAACTCTGTTTTCCTGCTTTATCTAGAGATTGCCCACGTCGTCTTTGTCCAAGGAGAGCCTTCGAGGCCGTGGACACTGCACGACGACCCTCCCGAACGCTCAGGATTCCGGTGCATCGCCGACGCGTCGCCGTCGCGACGCCGGAACTCTGTTTTCCTGCTTTATCTAGAGATTGCCCACGTCGTCTTTGTCCAAAGAGAGCCTTCGAGGCCGTGGACACTGCACGACGATCCTCTCGAACGCTCAGGATTCCGGTGCATTGCCGACGCATCGCCGTCGCGACGCCGGAACTCTGTTTTCCTGCTTTCAATTTAATTTACGCTTCATTTAGTGATACTTTGTTGATTTTTATTTACCAAACTATACTTCGTTCAATTACGATTCTTCCGGCTTTTACAGATCTTAATTTGATTAATTGAGTCGTCTGTAATCGCCTACGTAAGAATCGCCGGGCGGAACTCTGTTTCCGCCTGATTCGCGTTCGCCGGGCGCTGACGTCATCCTGACGTCCGCACCCTTATTTCCTTTTCTTTTTGTGAATTTTAAATATATTTCCTTTTTATTTCCTAGTATAAAATTCGTAAGAAAATTGTACTCATTGAGAAAAATTCTGAATAATTACCAGATATTATATTACATCCCTGTGATCGACCTGGAAAATTACCGCTATTTTTGGAATTTTTATTGAATTATAATTGATATATTTATTTTGAAATACTTCTAAATATCCGAAAATTCGTATTTTCTAGTTTTATAAATTTTATATTTGCGTGATTTAACATACAACGACTGAGTCACGTCAGGAGGCTCACCAGCCAGTCAGTCTTACAAGCAGGTTGGAAGTGCAATCGGACAAGAATCGCAAGTAGGGGCTCAAGCGACTTGAACTGATGGGGGCACGTGTGCGCCACTGCCCTTCCTGGTCACTAGTGGCCAGCTGGCTATGGGACAAGGAGTGGTCATACACGTGCGAGAAAGGGACTTGATCGAGAATCTAATATTACTTTATATTCACCAGAAACTTCGACGCACAACCAATGTGAGACTAAACTTACATCACCTTCCCTAGGAAGGGCGGGCAACCGGTGCAGATTTGAATCCTCCTAGAGCCAAAACTCATAGTTTTTTATCTGATTATCGCGACTTTCCTGTAGATCATCGGTGAAGGACTAAGCAACCAAAATTGTTAGATCATCAGCAAAAATCTCATCATCGTGATTCACAAAACATTATTACTAAAATTGTTGAACGATTCGTAATAAAAAAATCATAAGTTCATCGAGTAAAGCATCTCCGATTGATCAACAAACATGCCGTCATCGGGAAAAGGACAATCCGCTAGGAGACAAGTCACCACCTCCTAAGAGCGTATCAGATGCGATGAAGAGCCTCCTCTTACTATACGGACCTAAGGATGAAGCTCCTTGACATGCGCCCCACTTCCATCTAGCTCCTTTCTGTTGGGTGACAACCGTTAGAGAGCCACAAAGTCGCCGTTTTTCTACTTCGCTGGGTGACAACTGCCGGAGACGATTTGACGACCCATTTTATTGATCTCTAGACTTCGCAAGGAGATCTAGAGATTGCCCATATCATCTTTATCCAAGGAGAGCCTTCAAGGCCATGGACACTACACGATGATCCTCCCGAATACTCAAGATTCTGGTGCATCACCGATGCATGCCGCCTGATAAGTCTTCATTATCATGAGTTAATAATTAGTAAATAATATAGTTTTAGCCTTAACTCATGATAAATAGACTTATATTTCTGTTAAAGAATGATTTTTAGTTTTCAATTGATTAACATGAATTTTTGGGTAATTATGTGATTTTATATGATTTTTACAATCTTACTTTTGAGATAAATGAAGAATAAAAAATAAAAATAAAAATATTACAAAAATAGGGGGACCCGCCGGCCAGTCGTGCCTGCAAGCGGGTCGGAAGCGCAGTGGGGGAGTAAGCCACGAGCAGGGGCTCGAGCGGCTTGGCTTGGGGACTGACAGGGCACGCGTACGCCACTGCCCTTCCACGTCACCGGTGGCCAGCTGACTGTGGGGCAAGGAGTGATCATACACGCGAGAGAAGGGACTTTGCTCACAAAGCTAACATTACTATATATTCACCCAAAAAATCGGCGTATAACTGATGTGGGACTAAACCCCCGTCACACCTTCCTCAGAAGAGGCGGGCGACTAGTGCAGGCTTGAATCCTTCCAGAGTCAAAATTCATATATTTTTATTTGATTATCGCAACTTTCTTGCAGATCGCCGGTGAAGGATTAAGCAACGAGAATCGCTGGATCATCGGCAAAAACCTCATCAATGCGATTCGCGGAGCATTGCTACTAAAATTGCTGAACGATTCACGATAAAAGGATCGCGAATCCATCGAGTAAATCATCTCCGATTGATTGACAAACAAGCCATCGTCGGGAAGAGGACGATCCGCTGGGAGACCAATCGCCACCTCCTGAGAGCATACCAGATGCGATGAAGAGCCTCCTCTTGCTGTGCGGACCTGAGGATGAAGCTCCCTAACACGCGCCCCACCTCCATCCAGCTCCTCTCCGTCGGGTGACAGCCGCCGGAGAGCCGCAAAGTCACCGTTTTTCCGCTCCGCCGGGTGATAGCCGCAGGAGATGATTCGACGACCCACTTCATTGATCTCTAGACTTCGCAAGAAGATCTAGAGATTGCCCACATCATCTTTGTCCAAGGAGAGCCTTCGAGGCCATGCACACTGCACGACGATCCTCCCGAACGCTCAAGATTCTGGTGCATCGTCGACACATCGCCGTCACAACGCCGGAACTCTGTTTTCCTACTTTCAATTTAATTTACGCTTCATTTAGTGATACTTTGTGTGATTTTAATTTACCGAACTATACTTCGTTCAATTACAATTCTTCCAGCTTTTACAAATCTTAATTTGATTAATTAAGTTATCTATAATCGCTTACGTAAGAATCGCCGGGCAGAACTCTGTTTCTATCTGATTCACGCTCGCCTGGTGCTGACATCATCATGACGTCCGCACCCTTATTTCCCTTTTTCATGAATTTTAAATATATTTCCTTTTTATTTCTTAGTATAAAATTCATAAAAAACCGTATTCACTGAAAAAAATTCTGAATAACTACTAGATATTATATTACATCCCTGTGATCAACCTGGAAAATTACCGCTATTCTTAGAATTTTTTTTGAAGCATAATTGATATATTTATTTAGAAATACTTCTAAATATCCAGAAATTCGTATTTTCTAATTTTATAAATTTTATATTTGCGTGATTTAATATACAACGACTGAGTCACGTCGCCGCCGTGACGCCAAAACTCTATTTTACGACTTTCAACTTACTTTCTACTTCATTTAGTTATAATTTATGTCATTTTAATTTATCAAAATATACTTCGTTCAATTACTATTCTTTCGGTTTTTATAGATCTTAATTTGATCAATTAAATCGGTTGTAATCGTTTACTTAAGAATCACCAAGCAAAACTCTATTTCTGCCCGATTCACATTCGCCAAGTGCTGACATCATTTGCACGTCTGTACCCTTATTTCTCTTTTTTGTGAATTTTAAATATATATTTTTGTCATTTACTAGTATAAAATTTATAAAAAGTAATATTCTTTGAAGAAAATTCTGAATAACTACCATATATTATATTACATCCTTATGATTGACCTAGAAAATTACCACTATTTTTGAAAGTTTTATTAAATCATACTTGATATATTTGTTCAGATATACTTCTAAATATCCAAAAATTCTTATTTCCTATTTTTATAAATTTTAAATTTATGTGATTTACTATACAATGACTAGCACGTCATTGACTAATTAATTTTTTATCCTTACAAAAAAAAATTATAACCTATAATACTTTATGATCTATTTCTATACAAAGATGACATGGTGATGTGACTTTTAGTCATTGTATAATAAATCACGAAAATTTAAAAAATTTCAAATTAGAAAATACTAATTTTTGGATATTTATATGTATATTTGAAAAAATATATTGATTATAATTTAATAAAAGTTTAAAAAATAGTGATAAATTTTCAAATTGATCACAAGAATGTAATATAATATCAAGAATATTTTAGAATTTTCTACAAAGGATATAATTTTTTATAAATTTCAAATTAAGAAATAAAAATAATATATATATATATAATTTACAAAAAAAAGAAATAAAGGTGCAGACGTCATGATGATGTCACTACCCAATGAATGGGAATGAGACAAAAATAAAGTTATACCTAATAATTGTTACATAAGTGATTATAGACAATTTAATGGGTTAAATTAAGATCTATAAAAACAAAAAGAATCATAATTAAATAAAAAAATTAGTAACTTAAAATCATGTAAATTATCATTAAATTAAATCAAAGTTGAAAGTAGAAAAAACATAGTTTCGACCTTGTGACAATAATGGCCAAAATTTTGTATTCAAGAGGATCACCGAACAATGTCTATGGCCTTAAAGGCCTTCTTTGGACATGGACTACTTGGGCATTTGTTAGATCTCTTTTCAAAGTCAAAAAAAGATGGTGAAAGTTAAATTAGTGAAAAATAATAAAACATAGTTTTGACATCATAGTGTTGATACGTCGACGATGTGTCAAAATTATGAGCATTTGAGAGGATTATTCTGCAATGTCTACAACATAAAAAACTTTCTTTAGATAATGATGACTTAGAAAATCTTTTGATCTTCTTGTGAAGTCAAGAAATCAATGAAATAGATCATCAAGTCGTCTTTGATAATTATCACCCAATAGAGTAGAAAAATAATAACTTTACAGCTCTTTGGCAGCTATCACCTAACATAGATGAGTTAGATGAAGGTGGAGCGCATGTTAAGGAGCTTCATTCTCAAGTCTGCACAATAAGAAGAACCTCTTCATCGCATTTGGTACTCTCTCAAGAAGTAGTGACTCATCTCTTAGTAGATCATCTTCTTCCTGACAATGACTTATTCGTCGATCAGTCAAAAATGATTTACTTGATGAATTCGTGATCCTTTATCACAAATCATTTAGTAATTTTCATAACAATACTCAACGAATCATGTTGACGAGATTTTTAGTAATGATTGAGTGATTCTAGTGACTTAATCCTTCATCAGTGATATGTAAAAAAAATATTATTTAATCAAATAAAAATAATTTTTGTCTCTAGTAGGATTCAAACCTTTGTTAGTCACTCGCCTACATGAGAAAAAGTAAAATAAGTACATAGATATTTTTATAAAGTTACATCACTAGAGTTCCTCTTTCTAATAAACAAGAGATATTTAAGGTACAAAAATCATTAAAACATTTTGAGGAAGTTGTGATCGATTTAGTCTCATATTGGTTATATGCCAAGTTTTGAGACTAATATGTAGTAATATTAGATTTTGAAAGTAATGAGTCCTTTTCTCTTATGTGTACAATCATTCTTTGTCCCACACTAAGTTGACCACAAGTGGCATGTAAGGAGAGTGATGCACACATGTCTCTTATTAGTCCATCCTCAGTCAGTCAAGCCCTTACTCGTGGCTTTGCTCGACTATGCTTCCGACTCACTTGCGGGCCTAGTTGGCCAACAGGTTCTTCTCTTTTTCTATCCTTTTATTTTATTTTATTTTATTCTATTCTATTTATTTATTTATCTTAAAATATACTTATAAAAATTATAAAAAATTATATAAAATCATATAATTAGCCAAAAAATCACATTAACTAACTAAAAACTAATTTTCTCAATTTAACTTAAATATAAGTCTATTTATCATGAGTTAATGTCAAAAATATATTATTAATTAATTATTAACCCATGATGATGAACACTTATCACATGATTTTCTAAAAATATGACTAAATAGGGACATAAGTATGAGATTTTATAGGTTATTCTATAATCCCATAATGTATTTTATAACTTTGTGGATCAATCTTTCTTATATGGTTTAATTATTTTTCCTAAAATTCTTTAGATTTTTCTATTTGCTACTTCAGCTTACTTATTTATTTGGCGTTGATATGGAGTGGCTACTTATATGACTTAGTTGTTGTATAGTAAATCACATAAATTAAAAATTTATAAAAATAGAAAATACTAATTTCTAGATATTTAAAAGTATTTATGAACAAATATTTAAATTATAATTTAATAAAAAAAATTAAAATAGTGATAATTTTTTAAGTCATTCACAGGAATGTAATATAATATCGAGTAAGTTTTAAGAATTTTTGTCAAAGAATATGAGTTTTTATGAATCTTATACTAAGAAATAAAAAATATATATATTTAAAATTCATGAAAAAGGAAAATAAAGGTGTGGATGTCAAGATGATGTTAGTGCCCAATGAACGCAAATAAGGTGAAAATAGAGTTCCTCCTAGCAATTCTTATGTAAGCAATTACAAATGATTTAATTGATCAAATTAAGATCTGTAAAAGCCGGAAGAATTGTAATTGAATGAAATATAACTTGGTAAATTTAAATCACAAAATTATCACTAAATGAAGTAGAAATTAAGTTAAAAGCAAGAAAATAGAGTTCCGACGTCGCGACAGTGACGCATCAATAATGCACTAAAATCTTCAATGTTAGAGAAGATCGTCATGTAGTGTCCATAGTCTCAAAGGTTGTCTTTGGAGAAAGATGACGTGGGCAATCTCTCAATCTCCTTACAAAGTCTAGAGATAAATGAAATGAGATGTTGAATCATCTCTAGTGGCTATCACCTAGTAGAACAGAAAAATAGTGACATTGTAGCTCTCTAGTAGCTATCACCCGACAAAGAGGAGCTAGATAGAGGTGGGGCTTGTGTCAAGGAGCTTCATCCTCAGGTCTACGTAGCAAGAAGAGGCTCTTCATCACATCTGGTATGTTCTCAAGAGGTGGTGACTCATCTCCCAACATATCATCCTCTTCTTGACGATAGTTTGTTCATCGATCAATCAGAGATGATTTACTCGATGAATTTGTGATCCTTTTATCACGAATCGTTTAACAATTTTAGTAACAATACTCCTCAAATCATGTTGATGAGATTTTCATTGATGATTTAGTGATTCTGATGGCTTAATCCTTCACTAGTGATCTGTAGAAAAGTCATAATAATCAAATAAAAAATATAAATTTTGACTCAAGAAGGATTCAAACCCACGCTGATTGTCTACTTGCATGAGAGAGATTGAAATAAATACTTTAATACCTTTATTAAGTGACATCATCATGATACATCTTTATTATAACTAAAGGATAGTTTAGGTATTACAATCTTCAAAAACATTCCAAAGAAGGTGCAACCACCAATTTAATCCCACATTATTTGTGTGCTAAAGTTTTGAGCGAATATATAATAATATCACATTTGTAAGTAATAAGTCTCTTTCTCCCACATGTACGATCACTCCTTACCACATAATCAGCTAGCCACCAATGAGGTGGAAGGGGAGTGATGCACATGTGGCCCCATTGGTCTTTAGTCACTCAAGTCCCTACTTGTGGCTCACCTCAATTGTGCTTCCAACTTGCTTCCGGGTTTGGTTGGCCGGCAGGCCCCCCCTATTTTACTATATTTTTTTATTTATTTCTTCATTTATCTCAAAAATAAGATTATAAAAATCATATAAATTCATAAAAAATCACATTAACATAAATATAAGTCTATTTATCATGAGTTAAG